ACACAAAGCTACGGGGCGATGCCTGCAGCGGAGCTGGGGCCGCACAGCTCTCCCCGCGCTTCCCCCCTGCCCTCAGCCCCGTTCGCCTCGGTTCCCGTTTGGCTCACAGGACCCCACGAGTGCCCGCTGCTCCATGTCCCCGGCCGCTCGGCGCCCACGCGCTGCAACAGAGAGACCTCTGTGACTTCTCCGCTCCCCACGCCGCGTCTGCCTGGGCTCGGAGCTCAGGCCCCGTCTATAGCCCACTCTGGGCTCTGCTCCCCCGGAACCTGGGGGATGCCGGGCTGGGCTCTGGCCCCTGCGCTGCCCACCAGTCTCGGTTCGGTTGGGTGAGGCTGCGCGGCAGCAAGGCTGCTCCCACGCTCACCCCGGCTCTCGAGCTGGAGTCGGGAGGTGTGACTGAACACAGCAAAACCCCTACTTCCAGGAGAGCAGTGGACACCCGAGAGCTGTTTTCTGGAATATTCATGCATCACACTAGGTTCGTTGAAAAAAAAAGTTCTTGATTTCACTTTAACATTGTATTTAGGATGACACTTTCCTACTTGAATGTTTAATAGTCTTTTATTTCCACAGCTTCTCTGCAATCAAAACTTTTGCTTATATGGCCCATGGCAGAACAGATGCAATTTTTTTAAGGACTCCTAGGAAAAGATAGCTTAAAATCTGTACTGCACACAAATTAGATTCTCCAAAGAGATCCACTTGGAAGCACATCTTATTTCTGCTGTGCAACCAACCTCCTTCGAACAGGAAAGGACATTTTGTGAGATGAGTGCAACATTAGAAGAAAAACAAGGAGGAGACATACCACACTGCTACAGTGACTCTGCCGATCTCAAAAGAACAAGACTAAAAGTTTATGAAGAAATCTTGTTTGAAGAAATTTTGTTTGAAACATTGTTGAGGCATCATGGAAGGTACCTCACCTTCAATAGGATGTGAAACAAAACAACGTGTCTTACGTGTTCTTTTGCTGTTGCTTACTTGGACGTAGTATAATGAAATATGTAACTTCTGGACCAAAGATGAGCTAAGAGTGTATCTTAAAGTGTAATTATAATGCTAAAATACACACCCCTAGGGGAAAATGGTGCATACCAATTAGAGAACCTCCCCCAAATGTTTTAATCATTTGCAAGCCGACATGTTGTAGGATGGACAGGGAAACGTGACTAACCAGCCAAGTGTCTCATGCTTTTAGAAGCAGTGAGTGGCTTTACAACGCTGAGTGTGCTGGCTGTTGGTAAACACCTGGCACCCTATTCTGCAGAACAGAAATAAACACCCATATCTCAACTCAGTGCACAGACTGGCGCTTTGCTCACCATGTGAAGAACCCTTCTTAGGGACAACATGGCTGAAGTAAGTTCCAGAAGAGATGTTAGACATTTACTGAAGTTAATGATGCCGTTAGCTCCTCACAGAGGCATGATTTGAGGCGTCTGTGCTACAGAAACACTGTTGAATGAAATGATAATCCAAGGTACAATTTTGACATTTTTTCCTGCTCCAAGCCACAAGACCAAATACAAATGAAAAATCTGCCTTTTTCCTCGAGTGAGAAGCTTGAGCATGAGGAAACAACTGTCTCATCTCACTGTTTAACATTCCTGACTACAGAGGCTAAAAATGTCTAAATAAAGCATGAAAATGCTGCTGCTGCTGCTGGCTGACACCAGTTTGCGTTAGCTGTCAAAATTTTTCTGGAGGACCACTGCTGCCTTTCCCAGATTTTTAAGGTCTGCCTTTTCACTTCATATGAAAATATGATGCTTGTCCCTAAGTAAAAGTAAGTAAATATGAATACTATAAAAGTCTGAATTTATTTGAAAACAAAATTCTGTGAAACAGGTTCCAGAAGAGATAATTTAAAAAACATTATTTGTGGTTGGTTTATTTCACTTAACAGCAAATCAAATAATTTTTCTTATGAAGCAGGTGTTTAATGTTTTAGATCAAATAATTCACGTAATATGAGTAATAAAGTAATTTGATTAAGTCCTCATTTTAGTAAGCTGCACGGGTCACAACAGCTTTCAAGTCAAAGTTATTTACTGAGACGAAGCAAAAAGAAGTTCCAATGTGCAAATTGCTCCCTCAAAGTGCATTTTAGATCAGCTGTCACATGTAATTTATCTATGTAAGCCTGAACAACCAAAATAGTTTAATATTCCTTTTCACTAACAAAGTAAGTCACCGGACTCCTAGATGAGAAAAAGATGACACATACCAGATATACCACTAGTCGTTGGTGTCAAAGGTAGCAAACACAATACTGATCTACTTGGCAAAATAAACCCTTCCAGTGGGTGTGCTCCTAGGGAAATGTCAAGCAACGGTTTACATCATATTCTTTTCACAGAGAATTCTACAAATATTGATACAATATTTTCTACTAAGGTAGGTTTCTCCTTCCCTTAAGGAAAGACCATATTTATTCTCTAAATGCAGGCTGTTAAGTGTGTTTTGTAGAACTTACGTATCAATGACAGAAAAGGCTTCTTTCTCCTTTGTTCCTTAACTGATCCGTGCAGCCGTGGTTGAAAGGGCTCCATGCTCGTTATTAAATTCTTACGGTTTCTCAACCAAATGCTTGTAATAACATGGGGAAACTTACACTAATATACTTAAAAGAGCACAAACAATCCAGAGTACTTAATAGCACACTGACTCCACTCAGCTAAAATTAACATGAGCGCTGGGGCTGCATCATCACTCCTCCATGCATCATTTCCCCAAGACGACGCGTACAGCCGGGCCGGGCTGCAGTAGCGAAGAGGGGTTTTCTGGCAGCCCCGAGCACTGCGTGCCTGGGGCCAAGCCACGCTCCTCACAAAGGTGGTGAGGCTCTGGCAGGGCTGTGCAAGTGAGGAAACACAGCGCTATTTTCCCACGGAGCTTGAGCTAATGAGCACGGATTGTACAGGTAAGGCAACGTCTGCTCGGGCACCACAGATCCGAAAGCATCAAGTGGTCTCGCAGGGCCTATCAGCCCCTGGTCAGGACCCTGCTGGACCACACAAGTCAGCCAAGTGTTCGTACCTCATTCCTTGTACCCAAGTTGCCCAGTTCTATCAATGCAAGGGTTATTCTTGTAGAGTCCTGAGCTCCTCAAGATGGTCACCAGTGCCTGTGCCACAGCATGGTCTTACATGCACTGGAAGGCTGTTGCACCATACGTATTAAGTGAGGCAGAGTTTCTGCCGTGCAGTCTTTCAAAATGTCAATCTAGGAAGCAACTCTGCAGCAAGCAGATACAGTTCAATACAAACCTGTTGCATTGTTGTTCTTCCTTTGTCATCTCAAATTTTGAGAACCCCGCCAAAAGCAATTTTCACTGACAAGTACCATCTTTTCTATTAATAAACAAGAAACTAACACTGAAAGTACAAGATAGAAGGAAACCTTGCCCTGAGGGACAACTGATTTGAAGACTATAAAAAACACTGAGAAAAACTATCATTTTGCTGAAATATTAGGAATTCTTATAAATAAGTTTTTACTTATGATTCAAGATGTATTTTTCGAGTGTGACCAGGAAAAAATCCCAGACCAGGTGTAGGTTTTTACCTTGATTTCCTTTGTTATGAATTTACTTAATCCATCCTCATACTGAAATAAAGCTACAGTTCTGCAGTCATTTTGCAATAAATAACTGCACAAAAACATGCCATGTATTACCTAAACCCACTGAGATCTGAATGTTGAAAAGCATACATGGTGTGAGTATTTCACTAGAGCAGACAACTGATACAGCCCGTTTAACAGCACTTCCTCTTCTCTCACTCTCCTCCCAACCCTAAAAGCACCTTTATCTATATAAACTATGGCATACTTTAAATCTAATCCTTTAGCATAAAATATACAATATCCCAATCAAATTGTGACAACTTTTCTTTCATTTTTCTGATATTAGCAGGAAGACAATGCATCTACTTTGGTTACTAAATCCTTTGATTTTTATTACTTTACTAATAAGCACGGCAACATAAAGCAAGACTTAAAGATGCTGCATTTCATTGGGGTGAAAAAGTGCTCCAAAATAGAGGTTCATTAGTGGCGTTCCTTCCCTTCATGTTTCTGACCAGCTTGCTTATAGAAAACAGACTCTTGCTGTCAGTGGACTCCAGGTGACATGTTTTAGACAGACACTCAGACTTTTTTTTCTTTTAGAGTGAAAAAGATGTTCTTCAGTGATAAGACAGACTCCCAGGCCTCTTTCTTTTCTATAAAGGAGGAAAACTCTGCCAGGCTGCTTCTGGCATAACCCCATTTGTTTTTCCTGCAATGACCATTGACAGAGAATGAAAACTCCCTCTGGGACACCAAGGGTTCAGTTTCCTTTGGCAGCGATCTTGTTTGGAAGCAAACCTGAATTATTTCACTTCAAAGTAACAATTAAGGAATATTCTTCTGGAATGTCAAAACCGTGTAGATTAACCCAAAGCTAACCTTCACAAGAATTCTAAGCACGAGATTGCTTAGCAAAAAAAAAAAAAAAACAAAAAAACCCCCAAAACCAACCAACCAACCAAAACCACAAACAAAAACAAACCTCCAAACCATCAAACTCCAAAACAATCAAATTGTCACTAATTCAAGTGTAGAAATTCATTGACAGTACCTTAAAATCCAGTGGGTGGGGTGGGAGGAATGGCACAGCGGAAGGGTATCACATGCCATTCTGTAATGGCACCTGACAAACTTAAAACAGATATTCCTGAAGGGGGAAAAAAAAAAAAAAAAGTACATGACCATCATGTCTATCTTAAAATCTATGGCCTGATTCTGTTCTTGTTACACAAAACCTCATTGCAACAGTCATTATCTTTCTACCATTTATTTCAGTTAGGTGAGATACTTCACATAGCTGCATTGGCCTGAGTGTGCCCTCCACAGTCCATTTGAAATAGCATTAATTACTAGTGTGGCTCTTCTGGGGCAAAAATCCATGTTGTTTTCCCACAAAAAATAGCAAACACTGGTTTAGCTAAGGCTTTTTGACAGTTTATTAACATTATTAGGCTTGAGAAACAAAATTAGGTTTTATTCAAAATGTAGAGATAATTTTAAAATGTTAGTGTTCGCCCCCAGTAAGAAGAAACAGTCCTTTTTCTGCCTTTTTTCTTCCACATATTTATTTATAAATAGCGGGTTGAAAAAAAATGCCTTTGTCTTTTGAGTCACTTGCAAAAGGTCTGATAATATTCTTGAATCATAGTCAAAAGATGGGGATAGCCACCCATTTCAGTTTGTTACCCATTAACATGCCACAAACTCAGCTCAGAATGTTACCTGTGAATGATACAAATGATAATCCTGCTCTGAAGTAGCTCATCATAATTATGATGAAATATCACAGACAGTAATACCCAAAACTTTTAAGAGGGTGGAAGGGAGAAAAACCCACCACACAGAAATCTCGCACAAAATGCATGCATGTGTAGAAATACCCAAAGTGGCTTTAGGAACAAGCAGCAAGATATAACAAGGACAAATGCAAAGTTTATTCCACGTATGCTACAATTAACCAACATATTAGGGAAGTATCAAAATTTGTACTATTAACATATGGCAACATTTTTTATTGTTACAATACATTGCAATAGATTAACCCCACTGGAAAAGGCTTTTAAGCTGCAGACAGTGCAATTGCATTAAATCTTAATTCTTCTGGGTCACGTTCCATGAATTTCTTGCAAACTTCTATTGCATCCTAGTGAGGAAAAAAAAAAACAAACCTATAAATCATGCCGATTACAAAAACCCCCACAACTGAAATATGAAGACATGCTTTCTGAAATATGATGATATGCTTTATAAAAACTATGCTTAAGATGGATTTTTCCATAAAGGAATATTAAATAGTGTGACCAATCTACACAAACTGTATTTCTGATCTGAGTTACCACTATTCAAGATTATTTACAGTGCTCATATGGGCAGCATTAAGACAGCACAAATTTTTATGCAGAACCTTAGCAACAATGATTTTTGTAACTGAACAGTGCTTTGTGCAACAGATGTGTTGCTTGTCTGACTTTCTAAAAGCGTCTCTGAAGTTTGCCTTTACTGGTGCTGCTGTATTCAGAAATGTTTCCTTTGTCTTAAGATGAGTCTAAGCTGTGTGGGGCTAAGTGAAAGATTATAAGTAACTCCTTCATCTAGCTTTAGGGTGCAATCTGGATAACACATGTTATCAGTACAACAGAAAAACCACATATGAGAAAAGGAAAGCTTTATCAAACTTCTCCCCCTGCCCAAACAAGCACATATTGTATGCAAACTTCACAGACATTAGTTTATGCTAATAAACTATAAAAGGTTTTTTTTGTTTGTTTGGGGTTTTTTTGTTTGTTTTTGTTTTGTTTGGTTTTGGTTTTCTTTCAGTTTCTCTGGTTTCTTCCTCTTGTAAGGCTAACCATTCTGGACACCATGAAAGTCTGATCTATGCGTTGCCTTCTTAACCCCCATGCTTTTCTCCAATGCCTTTCTCCCCATCATTCTGTGGGGGGGACAGTTTGTCCTTCCAATTCAGTGTACTCTTTTCCAATTAATTTCTCAACTAAACAGCTTCTGATGCAAAGAAGCACGCAAAAGAAGCCACAAAACTGGGGATGAATCATTATTCACAAGTGTCGGAAGGGAAATCAATCAAATTCCATCTAGCATGGCACCTATCAAACTATAAGCAAACCAAAGAAAAAATATGCCAAGTTTTCAATCTGATGACTTTATCTCATGTACAGTTTTAAAGGAGCAGGGCTATATGAAAATCTCAGCACAGAAGAAAAACTGGGCTAATCTTCTATTATGGCAAACTCTTCTGACCTCTTGTTATCATATTATCATACCTCTGTCACTGAGAGTCACAACAGGAGTGCTCTGAAATACCTATTTTAAAACTGAGTAAACATAAATTTATCTCACAATCCCACTCTCTCTAATGCTCACCCAACCATAAATATAGCAAGACTTTTGTATAAATCTTTTTATAAATTTCCTGGAAATACAGCAAGAATTTTATGTAACGCCATTTAAGAAGGTTTTCTATTCGTACCTCTAAAAAAGAATCATCACTAGTTTCCCCATGGTTTATTGGAAATGGCTTCCGCCCATCTGTTGAAACACAAAGCAGGGTTGAACAATACATTTATAAAATCAGAAAAAGCTTCTTTTTCCCAGTTAAAACTATAGGAACAGATCTTTTGCTCTTCACTGAAAAAAAAAAGCTACTTCATTTTTTGTAAAAGAATCACACATACAACTAGCTATTCTCTAGTCTGTTGCACTACAAAAAAATAAAAATAAATCCAATCAAAACAATGAAATACTGCTAAGATTTTATTTGACAGCTTTACGGTTCTAAGTTGGAACTGTTTTAGTGCTGGTACAGTACTGCAGTTTTTCAAACAGAGAACAATTTCAACTGCACCTAATGGTTTTACCCAGCCAGCCCTATGGTTGTGGTATTGACAGCTGTGAGCAGGGACTCCACAACAGAACAGAACACCAAAACCATCAGTTTGAAAGGGCTGGCATAACTCTTACAGAAGCCACTCCTATTTAAAATAAATAAGCAAACAAACTCAGAACTTTAAGCATTCAGTACACTCACAACATTTAAAAACGGTTGCTATAGTTCATTGTTTTTTTTCCCCAGTTGCAATAAAATAAAAATTTAATAATAATTTCCTTCATTCAGGTTACTTGTGAAGAGCTAACAGTATGAGAATATATGCCAGGGTATCCTAAGGATTTTCTAGACCAAATTCCCTTTTGGTTCTGTACTCCCTTTTAAAGACTTTTCCCTCCCTGACAAAACTTCAAAACTACGTTTTCCATAATTAAAAACAGATTTCATGTTAGAAAGCTTTTGGATTTACATAAACAAGAAATAGTTAAGTTGCTCATGACTGTAACAACCATGATGGAATATAGAACACTGCAAAACCCTTACAATGTGCCAACAAAACAGAACTGAATGCCCTGTACTGTTGCAAGCTAAGTTTGATGAGAATTTTTTTTTTCTCTTTTACAGACATCTTGGCAGAGCAGCATTTTAATTTCATGTGCCTATAAATAAAATGTTTTCTATGGCGAAAACATCATAAGCATTTAATATCCATGTGCTCCCTTAGCATTCTGTGCCTGCCAAAGCCTGTGTGCTGGGCACAGTGACTGAAGTCAATTGAAAAACCTCCCATTTTCCTACTTTTAAGTATTTTTTACTTTCCTTCCGCTGTTACAGAGAGAAGTTATTTTAAGAACAAAGGGAATAGTAGTATTGGCATTCTACTACACAGTGGACTTAAATGCCTTTTTTTTTTTTATTTAAGCAAAAAATTCAGGTGGGTTTTACCTTGCTTCACACTTACAGAAAATAGTTAAACGTGGTAATCTCAGTCTGTAGTGTGCAGACCAAATGAAAGCACAGTGAAAAGGCAAGATGGAAATAGCAGCACACAACTAAAAGCAGAGGGAGCCATCCATCACACCCTGAAATTGAGTCTTAAAATATTTATATTGTATCCTACAGTAACTGCCTCACTATTTGATCTAGTTCGCTGATAGATGTGCAGCATCATAAAACTACAGAAATGCGTCAACTGTTGGTGACTTAGCACTGATAATGCCTCTTAGATTGCCTTAACATGAACAGAAGCACTTCTTATATATTGCTTATGCCTTAGGTTATGATTAATTATCACCTGCTAAGGGTATTGCTTCATTACATGTTGATTTGCTAAAGATGAAAACGTTCTCACCGTAAAATACTTCAAATATTATGTTAGGAAAGACCAGTGACTTGCAGTTTTTAAATCCTGATCTTGCTAGTTTTCTGAAGCGCCTGCAGCAAAATCTAGTTGCCCAGCAACACGTTTAAGATTGGAGTCATTAGAGAATATCTGAGCAGAACTTGGTGCTACACAATCTGAAGAGGGGAAAAAACAGCTGTAATTGAGAAAACAGACTACTGGTTTACACTTAACTGATTAGTGACCATGAAAAGGTTGAAGAAAAAAAAATAAGCAGCCTGTAACAAGTGAGTTGTAGAAGATTACTATCTGCTAGTACCCTGACAATGTAATTTCAGTTTAAACCGTATCAGGCTGTTTTGCCAATGACCAGACTTAACAGGAACGACACAACCATCAGGAAGAGAATCCAATACGCAGACTGTATTGTAGACACAAACGTTAAGACGGGAATGCCCGCCAGGGGTACAAACAGGTCAACCAGCTTGTACATGATCGACGCCACCCCCAACGATCCCACAAAAGATGGGACTCGGCCCACAACAGGCGGTATAAACAGTGAGCTGAGGTTTCCCATAGTTGGCATGGGAAACATGTATTTAACTTACTGGTTTGGCTAAGAAAAAGGTGCCCACATGGCGACTCTCACCCGATCCACCCGTGTTCGCAAAGGCCTAAACAGACCAGGGCCCAGCTCCAGGGAGAGTCAGGAGGTCTGCCCTGAACCAGGAAGCTCTGTGGAGTGCACTCCACAGACAGACACTCCTGACTCCCTGCAAGTGGTCCCAGCTTTTATCCCCAAGCAGACACCTGACCTTTGTCAACTCAGTGCGGGACCCCTGGGGCTCATTTCCCTTCTGGCTCTCCCTGCAGGGCCGGCCGCACCCTGGGGGGAAGCTATAAGGCAAACTCACCTCCTCTGTATGAAGGGCTGTGGGAATCACCGATAGGGCAACCTTAATTCAGGGGCTCGGGGTTCAGACCCCAGCATTTCACAGGCTATTGAACAATATATCTCACACTCCTAATGGGGCAAACTGTTCATTTATTAATTCCACAAGCAATTCAGGGACATCACTATAACAGTACTTTCCTCTCTGAAACTTCTGAGTGTTCATCAGTTCTTTATTGCTTCCTGTCCTTGTAAATCATAAAGGAAGTTTAGAGGCACTCTAGTATTTTGTACCTTTTTATCTTAACAGGAGGGAGTTGAGGGAAGGAGAATCTACAAGAAAAAATAAAAGGGAAGAAGGCTGCAGTTGTTTGACAGACCCCCTAAACCCTATGATGCAGCTGAAAAGAACCTAAGCCCTATGCTACATCAAGTAATCTCCCTCAAACATTTGATAATTAACAACTTGTACTTGTTTCAAACAAATGGAGAGAGGGGAGAAAAAAGTGTTCTTACCCAATTCATAGAGATGACCACCTACATTAACTAATGCAATGAAGTGAAGATCTACTTTTTCATCTATACTTGGTGCCTGCAAGACAAAACAAAACAAAGAAATTGTGTTCACAAAAACTCTTATCATGATATGATTAATGAGAACATATAATCAGAATACGCAAAACACTTGGCCAAGGGAAATCACAGGTGAGAAGCACATCCTGGATCTACATAGAATGGCAGAAGTCACTCTGCAGAACATTTTGGAATATAAAAAACTTTCTGTAATGCACAGATCAGTAAGAATCCTCTCAGTAAAGTATCTCAAAGTATTACGATTACAGGTCTACATAACAGCTTTACTTTTCATTTCTGAATTAGAAGTAGTAACTCAAGTACATTAATATTGAAAATAGATATTGATATAAATAGCAACTCCTTCACTAACCCATCTCCCATAACAAAACAATGCAGGGCTGAACTCCGAGCCTGTAATATTTTGAAACAAAAAATATTTACTTGGTTAAAATAATTTTTCTCCTCAGAAGCCACATATAATACAGTTAACCTGTTCCCTCCTGACAGGTAGTCAAAAGAAACAGTTTACACATCTTAGGTGAAAAGAGAAGAAAATAACCAGAGGTGCCTAGACTGAAATATCTGTGTGGCATCATACCAAGAAAGGACTGAGGTGCAGTGACAGCATCAAGTGACATGACATAAAAAACAGCTACAGTTGGTAAAGATCTATCTAGCCCAGTACTGTGTTGTCAACTACAGCCAGCAAAAGCTTTTTCAGAAGCAAGCAGGGCATGCACAGCATGGTGCTTTGCCAGCACACATTCCCAGCATCCACTCAGCAGCAGGTTTTGAACTTCTGAGTCCAAGGGTGCATCAACACTGTTGTGTTCAATAGAGACTGATGGTCTAAATGCCTCATCAACCTGCTCAGTTGACATCTGAGCCTTGATCCACAACTCAAGAAGATACTGTTTGAGGGAATGGGAAAAAGCACCTCAGTTTTTCTTAAATTATCAAGAAGCTGGATCCTCTGAAAATGTATTTCATACAATTTTTTCCCATCTTCTAATTACTCTTAGCCTCATATGAATTTCTTGAAGCACTCCAAAAACCTAAGACTTTGTCAGAAACAGATCAGAGTATAAAATGAGTTGTAGAACCTTACGGTCGCATCATGTTTTCAAGACTGGGTCAAACGTTTCCTTCTTCCTGATGGTCATGAGAAAAGACCTTAAAAGATGATCTAAACTGAAGCAATGTAGCGAGCAACCACAACAGTAAAGGAAAGGACAAGAAGTCACCAGAAGTCCCTCAATACATCAAAAATACTAAACCCCACAACGTTACAGAGGAACTGCCAGAAGCTTACAGAAGCTTCATATTACAGAAGCTTACAGAAGTTTATATAGCAAGCTCAAAACCAAAAGAAAAATAAAACAAAAAACCACACAGCCTCTCCTCACCCTCACCTGAGATTCATCTCCATGACCAGATAAAGTCTGATAGGGATAAACAACCTGTTTCATTTCTGTTTCAGAGGGCCCATCAGGGAGGAAGAACATTCCTGCCACTCAAGATGAGGCAGCTACCACAGAGAGGAGAAGATCCTTCCCCTAGGACTCCAAGGAGTCTTTTTCCCCTATGGCATAAATGAGTTGCCTTTGATATTTTGTTTTACAGGTCAAATAAAGCCAGGGCTTAGAAAAACAAGCAAAACAAGCAGCCTCGAGAGTTTGGCCACTCCAGCTGTAAACTTCTAAGGGCTACAGATTTCTCTAACTTCCTGAAAACCACGCAAGACACCGCTTGACAACCTACGCCACCTTGTTGTTATTCCCATCCATCAATCAACTTTTTATAGGCATCTAAACTGTGGTGCTACAAAAGTATGCAGGCAGGCAAAGCTGAGAGTCCTTGCCAAATCACAGACTCCCACCTAATTTCCTTTGTAGACATCTGACTTCACAGCTGTTGACCTATCAGGTAAACCTAGCAACTGGGAAATCTGGGCTTAAGGAATCTCAGCATTTGGGGAAAGACCGCTGCCAGCTAGTCTCGCTTTAGGAAGAAAAGGACTTAGCATTTAAAAGCTTGCATTTGAACATGTGCTACCTGGCCTCAAATGGACATGAACCAGAAGAGCTCAAAGTATCGCTATTTCAGAGGACTGAGACGTTCAGGATTTGGTTTTGATCACATTTAGAACAAAATGCAGTTGTCCCTTGGTCCATTTTGAGGGTTGTGCTCTTTACCAGCTTCTAATAAGCATCTTTTCTATAGAGAGACACACTTGCACGCTTGGAATGCTGAGCCTATATATACTGCTAGAAGATGGGACAGGGAAGCCATCAAAAAAAAAGCATGATTAACTTTTCAGAGAGTATACTCGGAGACAGATTCCTAAAGAATCCTGCTGAGTTTTTGTACATGCCTAATGCAAATAATGTGCTTTCGTTTTGCTATTGCCACAACCCGTGAGAAATGCTGTGTTTTTACATTTTTAATTCCTTAACTTCAGAGAGAACAAAAGCACCATGTCATTATTAAAGTTTCTAGAATATGTTCTGATGTTGACAGTCTCCCACCCTTGTGACTCCTTCCCATTTAATGAAGACAATAGTAAATGTAATACAAATGAGATCTATCACCTTTCTTGAAAAATTAGGATTTCAAACATTTTTGACAATTACTTCCATAATCATAAGCACAGATGGTCTGAAGAGTCAAGATGACCTAAACCTTTACGTTATAAAAACATGTTGCTTATGACTTAGGCAAACAAGAAACTGGATTAAACTTTCCCAATGTGATGAATCTGATTCAAAATCTCCTCACCCTTCCTTAGAGGAAAAAAAACCAAAACAAAACAAATAACATTTGCTGCATGAGTGTGCTGCACGAGTGTGCACGCACACACAACACACAGACACAAGAAGCTGCCTGATCAGGGCAACTTCTGCTTCTAGTCAGGCTAACCTCTGCTTCACTGGGAAGCTTTAGCAATTCCACACTTAAAACAGAAGATTTTAAATTTCAAAGGAATGGAAAGAAGAAGGAATGAAGCTTCAGGGAGCTATCTTTTTGTCGTGTCCTTGAAAAGCTACACCTTTGGCCAGATTTTCAGCTGCTAACAGTCTTGTGTAAATGCTTAAAAGAACAATAGGCCATAGCTTTAAGAACTCTGCCTACATGTTCATAACTTCTGAATTTTCAGAAGGATTACAGAGGATTTTCTCACCATTACTCGTCTTGCCAAAGACCACAGTAACATAAGTATCAGTCAAGTGACCTTCTCCTTCAGAATTTTTTCATTTAGAAGCCCGCTCAATGTGTCAAGGGAGACAGCAGATTTGAATGACCACTTGTATGAATGACAAAGAAGGAGAGACAAGAGTCTAAATAAGATGACTGCCTAATCAAGTTTTCCAGCCAATGGGATTCAAGACTCATTTTCCAAGTCTTCCAAAGAGCTGCAGCATACAGTGAAGAAAATCTATGTTTCTTTCCCATCCAGAAGAGACAGAAAGGGGACAAGTACCCACATCTTAGATAGCTTACTGAAGCCTATGTTATGGTTTCAACCCTACTATAAGAAATAAGTAGTATGGGTTAGTGCACATCACTTTTTCAGTTTATTTCTTCAAAGAAAAAAAACAAACAAAACAATGCAACAACCACAAAAAAAACCACTGAGAAATAATGACCAGTAGACTGGAAACTGATTTGATGAGGAATTATGCAAAAAGTTTAGTGCTCAAAGCCATAGTTCTGAGATTTTCTCAGCTGCAATTTGTTCTCAAGGCGCTCAGATAATGCTTAATAATAATAATAATGATATAGTGTATCTGCATGAATACCTGATCTCATACACAAAAGTGACAGCCAAGGTTATCATGCCCTCTAATTTTGGATACCATATTAGAAGCACCTAAAAGACTGTGTCCCATTTTTTTCAGGATCTGCCTGCCTTCCCTGCTAACCCATGCATTCAGACTCTGTAATACACAACTGCTGACTGCTCTGAGAAGTCAATTCCAATTGACTTGTCTCAGGTCAATACCCATTAGTTCGTGTTATCAAAAGAGCACCTCTACATTTCCTCCTCTGCTCTTCACTAGCAGATTTCCAATCAGAAACATCCCAAAGTTTTTGCTCTACAGATGATATCCCTTCCTACTCCTTCTTGTTTCACTGAGGAATTCCTTGATTTTAATTTTCACCACTTCATGTTGCCCTCTCCTCATGAATTACAACCATCTTCTTTCTTGTTGTTGCACTAACCTTCAGAAACTCAATGGTACAACCCTGCATCACTGCTTCCCCAATCATATCAGCTGGTTTAATAAAGTAAACCTACATCACTTACACAGTTTATCTTGCTAATGCATTGAGACCATTAACCCAATCTTAAAAGTCAGTAGTCAAATCTTTTTATCTTCAAATGTTGCTAACTTACAACAAAACTGTTTACCAAATTCGATATGCAACTGATTTCTTTTCCTCAAAATCACATTTCTGGGACAAACATAACTGGGGAAAAAAAAAATTCTTCTTCTTAGGGACATACTAAAGAAGACCTCACTGCATCCTGCTTAAAATTATTTATGAAAGACCACACAAAAACAGGTTCAATGCTACATGACAGATTTCAGGCAACTTCTTACAACTATTTTTTATTATGTTCTTCCTTGCTCTTAAGGGAAAGGAGTGAAACAAGACATCTCACAAACCAGTTCAGTGGAAAGCTTTGCATTACAGGTTCTGACTGGGATAGGAAAAAATACCACTTATGCTAACTCATGAAACTGGCATCAAGAGTCAGGTGGGAGTCAGGTTCTGGAAGAAGAGTGGTAAAGACCAATAAGGAAAAGACAATTCTGCAGAACCTTGAGGAATAAAAAGTTTCCGATACATCCAGTTGAGAGACCATCACAAAAGTAACTTAAATCTAACAGAAGGAAATAACGGAGAGGTTTAACTATACAATTTCACTCTCAAGTAGTTAGAAGAAGTTGGAGGAAAACATTCAAAAATTACATTTACACAACAGAACATTACGTATGGGTTTGGGTTCAATAAATTTTGAAGTAAAGGGGGGAAAGTGATGCAATTGCTATTGGGTAGATCAGGCATCTGCAATTTCCATTTTGAAGCACGGAACATGCTTGGGCAGATGTATGGTGTAGGCCTGTGAAAGGCATTTGAATCCTGGTTGAATACTGCAATTAAAAGAAAGACCACTGGAATGATGACCACAATTTTCAGCAAGATCAATTCTGGCTCACTCCCACAGAACAGTGACATCTCTATTCATGCTCAGTATACTGCAGTGAGCTCACAGTATTTGAAATGCTCTGGTTGAACATACAGTTCAACTACGTATGTAGCTTAATTGACATCAAAGCATGCCTTGTCCAGAATAATGAAAAAGATCTCTCTAGGAAAGGTGCTGAGGGACTGCCTTGAGTGCTGCCCCAAGAATGGACAAGAAGTTCCTTTGCCAAGCATTGCCTCTGCAATTCCTGTACCATGCTGTCATGGCAGACAAGCTGTTTCAAGCCTAACAACTCTACGTCCCCAGCTCTACGGCTGGAATACAGACATGCCAGGTGAGGTTCAGCTCCAAGCTGCAGGACGGTAGTGTCCGATTTTGAATGGGAGGACGTCAGGCAAGAAGGTGAAATTCAGAGACAGGCTCTATCAATGACCAGAGTATTCTGAACACAGGACTTTTACACGAACACAAATCTGTCTTTAGATCCATAAGCAAGAGAAATTATTCAGCAGTATGCGGCTCTAAATAGGTATTTCTTGTTTGTTTTGTTTTTTGTTTTTTTTTTTTTTTGAAGAACAGGAACTTTAGTCTGACACAGAAAGTAAATGGAAGAAAAAAAAAAGAGCATGTTTTCCAACTTGAGAAGCATAGGAAAGAAAAAGACCCTAAGGCAACCAGAGACACTCAGCTTACTAAACTGCCTTTATCTTGACCCACAAGTTTTCCTCCACCTTATTTTCTCCATCCCACCCCACAGAGGAGGGGATTGATAGATCAGTTTGGTGGCCATCTCACATCCAGTCAAGATCAACCCACCACAAAAGTTAAGGAAAGTTTTCATAGCAGTTTTATTTAAGGAGCATAAATACAGTCTCACATCATTAAGACTTTTGCTTCTAATTTTGAAACAATCTATTTTCTGTCTGTCAATGTTTAAGTAGTAAAAATGTGCTTAGAACTACAAGTTCAACTGTATTTTATAGAATCATAGAATCATAG